CTATTGGGCACGAATTTTTACATATAATGTCGTGCCGAATGGGCAAAACTTGCTTTTTTGGCTTAAAAACAATGCCATATTGCCATATAGGACAAGCGAAGATTTGTGTATGCAATAATTTCACCAAAATCATTCTGAACCTAACGAAAAAAAATATATTTCACTGAGTTCTTGCTAATTGACCAGTTTTACATATTTGGCACGACATATATATATATAATATATATATATATAAATATATATATATATATATATATATATATATATATATAATATATATATAAATATTAATATCAAAACTTTTGCAAGCAACCTTCCCTCCAAGGAAGGAAAGGGTAGAAACACGTTACATCATGAGCCCCTCACCAGCATCCAGGCCCCTTCCCTGTGGGAAAGGGTTAAAGGATGATAAGAGAATATATCAATAAAACACAATGTTAACACACTCACATGTTCATGTTTCTGTTCGTTTCTGTTTAACTCATGAGGCTCGATCCTCTGATATCCCAGACTGGAGTACAATGTCATGACATGTCTGGATGTGGGGTCTGGCTGTATAGATATAGCACTGGGTGCTTCGGCTCCCTGTTCTCTTGGAGCCAAGGTATGAAGGTTCGAATCCTCTTATGGTCTCAGATATTGTATCTGTGAAGAATTTACGCTCGTTTGTGGATTGTTAAGTTCTACGTTATGTTTAGCGGTGTGGTGACCAAGGCAATATAGTGCTTGGCTTGGCGTTATGCCCGAACAAGATTCTATTTTCAGTTGTGAACTACACAATACCCTTGTATTCTGGGATATTTTCTTCATATTCTGCAGCAATAATCTCCCCTTCAACAGTCCTTTTATTCTGGGGTTCTTCCATCTTGTTCAACAGAACTCCCCCTTACATGTTCTATGGTACTTCATGTTTTACTACTGCGTTCCACATCTTTTCCTTCATCTTTCACAAATGTTCATCATATTCGCATCCATAAAATATGTCTGGGTAAAGAACTGAAGAATGTTAAATTATGAGGAACATTCTTTGAGAACAAACTCGTCACTCAGCACTATACCTCGACTTGAAAAAAAAATGTCATCCCTTTTTGACAGGTTCAGGAGGGACAAAGACGTCATTCAGTTTTAGTGTTCAGTAAATGTTTTCGTTAGGAAAATTGTTATTGGAAAACGAGAGGAATTTGTAACTATTATTAGTATTATTTTAAAGAACAGGTGAGTGATACATACCTGGTAGGCTCGGGTCTTGCCACTCAGAGGCTCCCCCACCACCATAACGCCATGACGCACCAGGATCATGTTGTACAGCTGAACCATCTTATCCCGGAACCAAGGCACGTCCTGAAACATGACCTCGGGATGCTTTATCTCTCTTTATCCCTATTCATAGGGAAGTCCTAAATCTATAAAGCGCCTGGATAATAATAATAATAATAATAATATTAATAATAATAATAATAATAATAATAATAATAATAATAATAATCTTCCTTTCTACAAGTACATGTACAACAGCCCTAGCTGACATCAGTGACATACTATATAGAATGCGATGTCAGGTACAAGTCACACACATTTTCAATATTAGTTCTAATGATTAACCAATAAAAGTGTAATGAACACCTGTCAATGCTCAATAATAACCCACATGGAGACAAACTCAGGAGGTGAATTTATATATTTCGATCCCCCTACTGGGGTCCTCTTCTGCTGAAGAGGACCCCAGTAGGGTGTCTAAATACACGGACAAATTCATCTTCTAAGTTTCTGTCTCTTTATGGGTTATTATTGAGCTATAGTTCTGTCGTGTGTTTACCTGGAGTTTACCTGGAGAGAGTTCCGGGGGTCAACGCCCCCGCGGCCCGGTCTGTGACCAGGCAAAAATAAAAATCATGGTAATGCTGATAATCACGTCAGAATAAAGCTAAAATAATAATTACATTCAGTTGCTCTTAAAACAGAATTTAAGTTTTCATTTTATTAAAGTTACTCCTTTGAAGGGTTTTAAGCCCCTAACTTAGAGGATTTTACCTCTAATTTTTTTTCGATACATATTTAAATTTTAAATCCGTCCTACTTGAAATAACGAGAAATGTACTCTGTAAGGCACATGTCTCGTGGTAACTAAGCTTACAGCTTACTTTGATCCCTATTTTGAAGATTAAAGTAAGCTGACTGGTCGTCTGTCTTAAAACCCATTGACTAACCACCCTATGATTGTAATGCACTCATAAAACTTTTGAATCCCTAACTGATGAAATAAGTTTTTATTGTTAAGAATAAATTGAGAAATCACCAACCTGAAGGTTATTGTCAGCTAATGTTTTCTTGAGCGACGCCTCGAGGGAAGCGTCTGGCGTGATGGTGTTGTTCTTCTCTGAAGGAAACAGGTCCTGTATGATGCCCTCAAACAGCGGCACATCCTGCAGTGCGCATATATTGTAGTGCCTTCTCTCTGCGTTCCAGTACTCACTATGATCCAGTATTAATTCCCTGTGTTCCAGTACCCACTCTCTGTGATCCAGTATTAGTTCTCTGTGTTCCAGTATCTATTCCCTGTGTTCCAGTACAAACTCCCTGTGATCTGGTGCCTACTCCCTGTGCTCTAGTACCAATTCCTGTGTTCCAGTGGATCCTAGTACTAACTACCTGTTTTCAGTATCCACTTTCTGTGGTCAAGAACTCGCTATTTTTGTCCAGGTCTCACTCCTTTTGATTCAGTACCCATTTCATGTGATCCAGTACCCATTCCGTGTTATCCAGTACCCATTCCTTGTGTTCCGATGACTCCTATACTCCCTACCCATGGTCAAGGACCCACTATATGTGTTCCAGCACTACTTGTATCTTAATGCTCGCTATATGTGTCCCACATAACTTACGACCTACCACCTCTATCCAGCATACTAAGCTCACTGCTTTTCCAGGTTTCACAAATTATTTCTCACACATTCTAGTATACACTACCTGTGTACTCGACCACGGCAACCTCAATTAAGTGAATACACACGCACACGCACACACACACACACACACACACACACACACACACACACACACACACACACACTGGCTCCTGGAGTTCAATCCCACCAAGTGCAAAGTCATGAAGATTGGGGAAGGGCAAAGAAGGCCGCAGACGGAGTACAGTCTAGGGGGTCAGAGACTACAAACCTCACTCAAGGAAAAAGATCTTGGGGTGAGTATAACACCAGGCACATCTCCTGAAGCGCACATCAACCAAATAACTGCTGCAGCATATGGGCGCCTAGCAAACCTCAGAACAGCATTCCGACATCTTAATAAGGAATCATTCAGGACCCTGTACACCGTGTATGTTAGGCCCATATTGGAGTATGCGGCACCAGTTTGGAACCCACACCTAGCCAAGCACGTGAAGAAACTAGAGAAAGTGCAAAGGTTTGCAACAAGACTAGTCCCAGAGCTAAGAGGTATGTCCTACGAGGAGAGGTTAAGGGAAATCAACCTGACGACACTGGAGGACAGGAGAGATAGGGGGGACATGATAACGACATACAAAATACTGAGAGGAATTGACAAGGTGGACAAAGACAGGATGTTCTAGAGATTGGACACAGTAACAAGGGGACACAGTTGGAAGCTGAAGACACAGATGAATCACAGGGATGTTAGGAAGTATTTCTTCAGCCACAGAGTAGTCAGTAAGTGGAATAGTTTGGGAAGCGATGTAGTGGAGGCAGGATCCATACATAGCTTTAAGCAGAGGTATGATAAAGCTCACGGCTCAGGGAGAGTGACCTAGTAGCGATCAGTGAAGAGGCGGGGCCAGGAGCTCGGACTCGACCCCCGCAACCTCAACTAGGTGAGTACACACACACACACACACGCCACACACACACACAGGAGTTGTGACTCGACCCCTGCAACTACAACTAGGTGAGTACAACTAGGCGAGTACACACATATACACACACACAACTACATAAGAAAATAAGAAAGGAGGAACACTGCAGCAAGCATACTGGCCCATATTAGGCAAGTTCTTCTCAAACCCTTTATGCCAGTCCTAACTCACTAATACTATTATTTATGCCTAAAACAAGTGTCTTTACAACCATTGCACAGATTTAAATTACCGTATGTAAAATATTTGTAGATTTTCCGGAAAAAATCTAATCATTTTTTATCCAACCCTACTTGATCTTGTCCCTCACCTAAGATAGCTCTCACAGGCATCACACTGAGATATACAACTCGAGATTCAATTTTATTATAATTTTCGAGTAGTGCTTAACCCATAAGGGTCAGAGCGATTGGGAAATGGAAAAATAATCTGGTATGATCATAGGAAGGGGAAGGATAGCTCCAATTCTCTGGATCAAGAGCCCTTCATAAGCCTCAAGGAACCCTATTAAAGAGCAAGATATTCAATAGGATTAACTAGAAGAGATAGAATAAAAAAATCACCTTAAAAGAATATAGACGTTTTGGCTTTTCCTGATAATTATTAAGTCGTGATTTGATCCAGGATGGACAGACACGTCTTCTACTGTTTTCTCTCCAAATTATGGGTTGTCTTAATTGTTCCATTCACGGTATTATTCAGGGAAGTTCTGACCATCATGTTATACTAAATAGCTAATGGCTTCTATTTACTATACATGAGAGTTTCACTTAAAATCGACCCACCTGAGCCAGAAACTTCGGGAGGTTGACGTCCTTGATGGCCCTGAGGACGACTTGGGGTTCAGAGACGTCAGGCATGAGGAGCTTGAGGTTGTTAGGGCCAGGAAAAACACCCCTTTGCGGCCCGCTGCCGTAAATCAAGTGGGTTGTGATGACAGTGCTCAGAAAAACAGTTGTAGTGTCGATGATTTTCCGTGCAAAGCTGTGGCAAAATAACCCCTTTCAGGTTTAAATTGCCCTTTTAAAAAACCCAGCGCATAAAACTGGAAATATTGAAGCAATGAGAATTAAAAAAAAAACACCAGAAAGCAAAAAAAGTGTATGGGACTGCAAGAATTTTGTAGATTCCCTCCCGAAAAAAAGTTTTCACAAGTTCTGTTTAACACCATTTTTTTTGTAAATGCCAAGTTGTTGTGGAATGTGTTAAATTTGTATATGAATAATGTTGATCCCATGTAATACATTGATCGTAAACTTACATAATAACGCGCCATGGAGAATGAAATATGACGAAGTTTGGGTTATTTACACCTTTAAACTAATCACATGGTGTGACATTTTAATGGTGAAGTCGCCAAAAACGAAATGATAAATTTTTTTAAAGATGTATAATGCTGAACGTGACGAAGTTGGCGTAAAGAGGAATTAAAATGGGGGAAAGGGGAAAAAAAGAGAGCGAACCTGTCAGTTGGCAAAACCCCAGGGAGAAGAGGAGATTTGGGCTATCATGACGTATCTGGCACCTCATGGCCAAAACCCTGAAAAAAGCCCTTCAGGTTGTCGGGCATTTCCCCCGCCCGGCGTCCTAAAGGGAAGGGCTATCTTAGCCACGGGGTTATGAAAGTTTTCCCAGGACCTGTGCTGGTTAAATTGCCCCAGTAGACTATCACACTGCTGTGTATAATAGGAGCTCCTTTACACCCCAAACACACACACACACACACACACACACACCACACACCAGGAGCTGGGGACTCGACCCTGCAACCTAAACTAGGTGAGTACATACAAGGGGGCGGGAATGTGAATCGACCACTGATCCTAGGGGTGACAACCACACAAACAAACACACACACACACACACACAACACACCACAACACACACACACACAAATGAAGAGGGGAAAAAATGCGGAATTTGGAGTGAAAAGGGTACGGGAAATATAACCCGGGAAAATATAAAGTTGAAAATTTTAAAAAGGGGGAGTCAAAAATATGTACAACTTGAAGGACAATAAGTACAAACTTCACCGAAGAGGAATTCCGGTGAGCATAGCAGATCACACACCTGAGGGCACTTCAACTGATTAATCTGCGCAAAAGCACGATTGGGAAAACTAAGTTATCTCTCAAAAGTTTTAAAAAGCAGATTCATGCCCCCTATTATGACATTATGCCAGGCCCATTCTGGGTACGCAAAAACAGCTTCGGAATTAACATCTGAAAACATGTCAAGAAACAGAAAAAAGTGCAGGGGTTTGCTATAGAATGTTTTCGAGCTAAAAGGTTTTATGACCTACAAGGGGGGCGAAAGGAAATAAAATTGATGTCACTAAGGACAAAAGGGCCAGGGAAGACGAAAAATGATGTACAAGTACTCAAAGAATTTCTGGGTGAACAGGAAAAAGTGCTCGAAAAGTGGGAAATGGATCAGAGACCCCAGCTAGAAAATTCAAGACAAAAAGAGTCACAGATGTCGAAAAGGTTCTTCGGTCTCAAAGTAAACAGGGAAAAGAATCATCCCCCACAGGGAAATTCTTCGTATTTTTAACAATTGAAAAATAATAAGTCATTTACAATAGCGAGAGCTGCTCACGGTAACATATATAAATATAATATCACCCTGCCTCGGTGGGGGACGACCGACTTGTTAAAAAAAAAAAAAAAAAAAAAAAAAAAAAAAAAAAAAAAAAAATAATATATATATTTTATTATATATATATATATATATATATATATTTATATATATATATATATATATATATTATATATATATTATATAGACAAAAAAAAAGGGACAATACCGTACTGGAACGATACACAAATAACCCCAATAGAAGAAAGAAGCTTACGCATGTTTCGGTCCGACTTGGACCATTTACAAAGTCACATAACCAGAAGTGAAGCAGGACGCTATATTAGGGAGGAAGAGGTGTGGGGGTGTAGTCTACCACCCCACCCAACTACCACCATACCTCTTCCCGCCTTATTTAAAACCGTCCCCGCTCCACTTTGGTTAGTGTGACTTTGTAAAGGGCCCAAATCGGACCGGAAACGTCGTGAAGCTTCTCTCTTCTATGTGCGGGTTATTTTTTGATCGTTCCCGTCACGATATATATATATATATAAAAATTATATATATTTAAAAATTATAAATAAATATATATATATTATATTATATAATTTAAAATTTTTAGATTTAAAAAATACCAAAGTAATCAAATCTGATTGAATCTCACTGCATTGCACGGTTTTTGTGCTCATCGAGGAATATAGTATAATAGAGGAGTCAGAAAGTGGTATGACCTGGACACTGAAGTGGTAAATGCAGGACCAATAAACAGCTTTAGAATAAGTATGATAATGTTCACGAGACTAGGAGAGACTAAACCTAGCAACGGTCAGTTAAGAAGCAGGACCAGGAACGGATAATCGACCCCTGCAAACACAAACAAGTGTGTAAATGTAGGTGAGTACTCACTCACACACACACACACACACACACACACACACACACACACACACACACACACACACACACACACACACACACACAAACAACCAGCTGTATTCTTAAACATAAATCTGTTGTGATCGTAATGGGTTGACAGATTCCTGCATGACTGACACTAACGGTGTAAGTGGCATTAGGTGCACGTTGTACTGAGGGATAGGAAGCCTACGCTAAGTAAACAAATAATTTGTTTAACGACGGTAAAAATGTGTAGATTGATCATGTCTATCCTGGTAGCGTCTAACTCGAGCAACGCTTATCAGCGAGGTAGTGAACTGAAGCTCCCTGAACTAGCTGCCTTATTATCTATTTATACCCAACACAGGATGGGTTACTTAATTAGATTTAAAGTCTATCAACTGCACGTAGTTCATTAAGGCTGCATTTCATCTATACACTAACAATCAAGAATACCATTATCCGCAGCAAAGGAATTAAAATAAAATCTGTGTATATACACTAAGAGATATATACCTCTTGGTGTATATATCCAGCTCATAGGATGGATATAGGATGCACAATAAAAATTATTAGTCTATAGGATCACCTGAAGATTTTCTCCCAAGGAACACAGTGAAATATTGTTAAGCAAATTTATCTTTTCTTTCACCGAAGTTAACACAACCTAACTTAAGCTTGCTAAAATTTACGTAAACTAAAATAGCCTATCTAAGAACTTGCATGACCATATATTATTGTTTTCCTTAGGGTAAAAGGGAGATCGGTTCTTCAAATGTCCTAAACTATTTAACACGCAACACAGTTTCTCCTACTCCCAGCTCCACTGACTATTACAGTAACTAGCACTCATGCATCTAATATCAGGCACATCACGTTTCTCTCTACCACTTGTACAAAAGCACTAACGAGGGTAGGAACAGCTGGCAGCAACACTACTCTCTAATTTCTATAAGGTCTCTAGACGACTTTTATTTTTTTTTATGTACTGTATCTATCTTACCAATAACTATCTTATAAGGCATCTTATTATATGAGTTGGTCATTCCTGTTTTTTTTCTGCCCTATTACTGCAACCCCTTTGTTTTCAATATATACACTCAAACCTCTATCTTTCCTCAGTTCGTAAAAGTAATAAATTATACAAACAAGGTGTCATATATTCTCTCGTGTTCTGATATTTCTAAAACACGTGAAGAACACGAAGACAAACAGCCAGAGTTTAACACTGCCTACAGACGCAACACTGAATGCTTAACAATGTCAGTAATACCAAACCTCTTCATACTTAATTGATCAGGTAGTAAATTATCAGATACAGTTAGCATAACAGCTACATGAATCACCAAAATTCAGTTCAACAAATTAAATAATTTAAAATAAATATTATGGCCATGTAAATAAATATTATTAGTAAAATTCTGAAGCAATTTGAATTAATAGACATCACTTTAATCTCTAAGAAAACATATAAATGTCGTGTGATACGAGACGCAAATATGGTGGGAAGGAAGGGACTGTAATGCTTATTGAACACTGAGGTACAGTGGTCACTAAACGATCGGAATTTATTACCGTACCACGCAATACATAATACAACATTCACATACACGAAAAGGACTACTTATTAATAAATCTCCCAAGGATACATACACCATACATTTAAAAAAATACTATAAGGCATAACTTTAAAAAGGCGCACATCAATTTTTTTAAAATTCACAATAAAATCTTTACTTCAAAATTCAAATAGGACTCATACATAATAAATAAGATTCACTTAAAAACTCACCGAATTTTAGGAAGACATTTAGTAGTTACAAAATCAATTCTTTATCCTAAAAGTTACGAAGTCGACAGCACAGTTAAAAGGTGAACATTTGTCAATAGTATGCAACATGACGCACAGAGGAAATCACGATCCCAAGCGAGTAGATGAGCATGGGTGATGGAATGCACTCAATTGTCAACTGGCAAAGAATCATCTCTTAGTGACAGTGTCTGTGGAAAGAGACGGATCAAATACCTACTTCTTGTCATATCCTTTATTTCTTATTGGTCGTCTGCATGGCCCGCCAGAACCGCAATTTCTCCAAGATGTACTACCGAATAAAAGCCATAAAAATCCATGCGATATAAGTCTGCTGGACACCTACACAACTGCACATCCTTGCTCTTGAGTCATTATCGGAATTAGTCACCTGTAAGTGCTCTCATCCTCCAACTACAAATACATATATCTGAGACTTAGAAGAGAGGATATAGTAATGATTCAATCTTCCAAAAGGAGAACGCTTCACGACCACAGCCAGTGAGGGCAGCTCATATCTGGACACAGAAAGAAAAAAGTAGCTTCGAGTGGCCGTCAGGAAGAGCTTCGTTCACTGTTGCAATTACGAAAGTATAAGAGAGATTCCAGGATAACCATTGAACCTGAAACATGTAATGTACACAGTGAATCTTGTGTGAATTCACCAGAATCTACAAAAAGACTTTCTACAAGAAAAATCGAGAAAGTACCAGCACAGATCCGGAAATCAAAGCAATGAATAGAGTCCAATAAGTACAGCAGAGAAGGGCACAGAATGTATCACGTTCAAGTCTCTGCCGATCTGCACCGCAGGAATAACAGAAAGTGCT